AAAAAAAAAAAAAAAAAGTTGAAAGCTACCAAACAAAAATATCATCAAAATCGAATTAAGAATATTATTAATAATTTAACATTCTTAAATCATTAACAACCAATAACATTAATTAATAATTCTTCTCTTTTAAACTGTTATCAATCAATAATTAAGAAAATCAAACAAACAATTTTAACCTAACAAAAATAGTTTTCATTCTTTCCTTTTTGATTCACATCAAATACTTTTTCCATTCAATATCTATTTACCTGTGTCCATGGAATAAACTGCACAGGAATTGCGGTAAAGCCTGTTTATCCTCGCGCACTGTGACTATACCATCGGATGTGACCATCAGGGGATCGAATGTGGGGTACTTGTGTTTATAAAGTTGGTGGTACAATCTCTCAACACTAAAACAAATTTAAAAAAAAAAAGAAGAAGACAAATGTTAAAACTTGACATTCTTGATGTGGAAATGTTAATAATGATGATTACCTCCTCCTGCAACCGACGCAGGGGACAGACTGGCCAAGCACATGCATTATATCGAGGTGTGTGACTTGGAGGGCGCAGTTGAGCTCCTCCTCGGTGAGCAAACTCATCTTTCTGCCAAAGTCCTCGATCTCCTTGCCTTTGAGTTGCTGGTGGTCGGTGAGCAGGCCCAGCGATCGTAGATCCATCACCATCTGAAAAAAAAGAGACAACATGTAATAAACTTTAGATCATTTTGGATTATTAATTTTATTTTTTTGGGGGGGTGTTATATACATACATATATATATATAGATATAGATGTGTGTGTATATGTGTATATATTACCGTTAGTGATTCGTCGACGAGAAGCGGCAACTGCCTCCTGTTCAAAGTCTTGCTGGGATGGTAGACATCCACCAATTTAGCCATTCTCAATTCAATCAAAAAAGTGTTTTTCGTACATGCGACCAATATCTATGTGTGGCACACACTAGATTTGTGCTGCTACTGATTCTTCACGTGCGCCACAAACTATTAAACTAAACACGATCACTTTTCTTCTCAATACACACACATAGACACACCGAAAAAGTGGTTCTTCCTTCCCAAAACGAAACGCACAATCGAATAATGTTTTTATTGTTTCTGTCTCCCTCTCTTTCTATGTTTGCACTCCAGACACACACGGAAACAAACAAACCCACACACACACACACACAGCCGAGATCAGTGGCAGAACTATGTCAAATTCTCTCGCGCTGTCAAAAATATGTCAGTCGGTAGTTTTGGTTTTGGCAGCGCTGGGTAGGGCGTAAATTGAAAGTTTTCCACACACACAACACACGCCGCTTCAGCAGAACCGCAACAGATGGCGCCATCTGAAAAACACGAATTGTTATTTATCTACCAAGTGAAAATGCAATTTGCAGCAGAGATTACAATTTAATCTATTCTATTAGATAATAGAATTAACTGAATGCATTAATTGCTGTTTTATTAATTAGTTAATTTGGTTTTTTTTTTTAAATTAATAATTCGTGAATGTATCAACAGATGGAGCATGGAATCAATCAAATTTAAAAAAAATAATTTATATATTTATTACAAATTAAAAAAATTTAAAACGTATCAAATATACATTGTACAAATTAGTAACACTTGATATAAATATATATATATATATACGAGTTATTAAAATATATGCATATAAAAATTAATAATTAAAACAGAAACGAGATAATCCTAAATTAAGTTACACCGAATATTAATAAATAACAGTAAACTTTACGTCTTCGTACTTAAATATTTGTGTGACGATTGTTGTTATTCCTTATGCGTAAACTCCTCTTCTGTATTGATTGTGCATGGAATTCCTCAAGCAGAAAGCGAAGAACATACCGAGGAACTGAAAGAAACAAATTGTTAGTTTTAATAATCTGCGAGATTGTTCTTCACGTGTGTGTATGTATGTATGTCTTACTTCGACCGTGCAGATCGCAATCACCGTGTAGAGGACGGAATTGACGAGCATGTTGTACTTGGTGTAACGTTTCTCGGCGCAGCCCATCGGATAGAGGGCCGGATCGTTGATTCTGCAAGGGCTGACGTTGTCTATGCAGCAGCTGCTCGGAATCTTATGCTTCCAATCGCTCGGTCCATCGACGCCGCAGCACTTCAACTGCAAACGAATTCAAAGTAATTTGCCGTTTCATCATCTTCGTATTTCGATTAAATTACCTTTTGCTGCATGTCATCGACGTAGGCGGTGCCGTCCGTCGTTCGATTGTAGTTGTCGAAGAGCCTCTGCACGTCGTTCAGGTTGTCCTGCTTCACGTCGATCTTGTCGTTCAAGTAGACGTAGTAGAGGACGCCGATGGCCACTTGGGATATGAGCAAGGTGAGCAGCAAAGAAGCGTACTGAAAACAAGCAAATTATGTGATTTTTTTAAACTTTCAAATTGCAATTTCGCTGAGCAATTTAACTCTCATTGACTGTGGGTGGCAGCAACAGTAGAATTATCCAATTAATTGGACGCGAATTAGAGGAATGCTTACAGTCGTCAGCATGCAGCTATTCTCCTTGATCGCTCCGCAGCATCCGAAGAACGAGATGATGAAGATGACCGATCCGACGATGATGAAGAACAGAGCCGTATAACCGGCCGCATCGTGGCTGTCCAGATGCTTCACGTCGCTCTGGAAGATCACACCGACAGAGAGAAGGGCCAAACCGATGATCTGCAAAACAAAAACAACAACAAAAAAAACGTTAAAAATTAATACAAATTTTAAATCAAATTACACACAACCGCAACGCTTTTATCGGTGGTGTTTCCACGATGATAAATTTAATGATACATACGTAAAACGGAAATTAGATATAGTTCTGGTAACGAAAACGTATGTCCAACACAAATATTTCGTAAAAAATGTAATTTGTATCTATTTAGAATGTGTTTGCAATTTAATTGCAAACTTGAATTCGTATCGTCAATCTACACTTTTCACAATCTAATTAAACAAGTTGCATTTCATCAACAATTAAGTTAGCAATTAACAATTGTTTCTGGAACGTTTCGGACAAACGAAACAACCGATATATGACGTCATCTCTTCCTCTCCTCTCTTTCTCACCCACTAACAAACAAGTTTATGTTGCTCACTTTCTTTCCTTTTTTTGCTTCAACAATTCCGATTACCATTTTTTTTTATTCTCACAAAATCATTGCGACACTGTTGATATATAGAATAGCACAATTATTTGACCTTTCGTTCGCGACGAGACGCGCATCTGGTTCCATTCCATTCGAATCGAAAAATATTTATGTTGAAAATTTGATTATTTGTAATATATGGATAACGATGATGACGCAATATATGAAAAAGAAAATAAACAAATGGGAGAGAGAAAAACGGGATTGTTTCATTGAAAAACTGAATAATTTTTTATCAATTCGAATGTCGCGCACGTTGAAGAAGTAAAAGGGGCGGCTTTGAAGCTCAAAATATTCGATTTGCTTAAGCTTATCTTCGCGAGTAAACAGCTGTAAATGCGTTAACCATGAATATAATAGAGGAGTCCATTATGCGAGCAAATAAAGTTTGTTGCGAATGCAATTTCGATTATCGTTAAATAGATACGAAAAAAAAAATAATAATTGGATCATTGATTATGGATAATTTCACTTGTAATAACAATTGATAAGAGTTATAAACTAATATTCACTGTATATTCTTAGAAAGTTATCAAGAAGGTAGACGAAACAAAGAAGGCTAAGAAACGCTAATCACTGTTCACATAGAAGCTAAAACATGTTGTCTTTGCGTAGCAAATTATAGAGTTTGAGTGGTTCTTAAGGTATTTTTTTCGGTGATAATCTAAAGTATTTTTGAAATACTTCCGCGTCAAGGTTAACTGATATATCCACCTTCCGACTAATGTAAAAAAGCAGCAACAACAACGTAGATATACAAGAATTGCTACAGTCTTCAAATTTAGTCTTACGGAAACGAAAGCAGAATGTTATTGAATTGCGTTTGGGAAACGTGGCGCTAATTTGGATTTTGTGGCGCGAAAATAGATCAGTTTTGCAGTCAATTATCGTGGCGGGCTGCGGCGGTATTTGATTAAATTAAAAACAAAAGTTACACAACGATAATGGTTTCTATGGTGATTTCGAATTAACGTTTAGTTGTTTACGTGCATTCGCTTATCGCTTTTGATTGTGTTCAATTGCTATATAATAACTTGCTCGGGCATTAATTAATGCGATTCCCGACTCGTCGATGCAATTATTCAGACTGGAAAATTGAGGTTCTAAAGTTCTTCTATCGTTTTCCAGACAAAAAATAAACGCAATCCAAATGATTTGCGTACGCGACTTTGATCACGTAAATGTTTATGGAAAAAAAAAGAAGAAAGAAAGAAGGAAGGAAACGTAAAGCATTTTTACGGATACGCAGAAATTTTTAAACAATATTGTTTTTGGTTGAGTTTTGATGATTGATGCGAGTTCGTTGAAGGTCGCTCGAATTCGTGCGATTCCTTCGGAAAGGGGTGTGTGTGTGTGTATGTTGATTTTGATTCGCAACTCTGAATTAAGTGCGCTCTGGACGAATGGAAAAACAAATGCATAAATCCGACGTTGCGTTGCTTCTTCTGGACTCGGTCCAACGCCCAAAGGCTAACGATTCGATGCGTCCGTATCAACAGCAGCAACAACAAAAATAATCGTAGAAACGATAACAACAACAACAATATTTGCGAATATCTTTTATGGACGTCGAAGGAAATGCGCGTCCGTCCGGGACGACCGTATACGTTCATGTATGTTCATGCAGAAATGAACTTCCTTCCTGTGCGTGTGTGCGTGAATGTGTGCAATCGAAGGGGGCGACGATTTAAAATAAAAAAATAAAAAAGTAGTAAGCGAAAGTTTGTTTTTGGTTTCGCTTGTTTTGTCCATGACGCACTATCGAAGATTCTGCACCGATTCTGCTCTATCTAACACTCGCTCGCTCGCTCGCACTCCGGTGAAAATAGTTATTTTCGGAGAAACGGGATCAATGCGAATGGTCAGAAAGAACGTATTTAACTCTCGCACTTTTGCGTTCCTCCGAATCCCCAAGTTGCGAGAGAATCGATGTTCGAAAATTTTATACGAGACAAAATGCAGATGGAATGTGTTGCACATAAAAAGTGTGCCTTTGACCCCGTTTCCATATGCGGCGCGGTTGTTTCATTTTACGTTATTGTTGTAACTCTCTTTCATTCTTTTTGAAAGATATTTGTATATATATTGCGTGACCAGTTTTGTTGTTGTTGCTTTTAATTACCCGTTATGTTTTTATAATTCCCAAACGACAATATATATTCCATCCATCCATTCAATCCCAAGGACTGCGCGTCTTATTCAGCGCGTAAGTAATATATTCTTAAACAGAGAGTAGAGAACTTACCGCAAAGACCAGGTTAAAAATGAACACCAGATACTTGATGATGGCTATACCGCACCCCATGACGCTCTTCGAATTCTAACTGGTTGCGTCGAAAGACTCTCGCTGCTGCTGCTGCTGCTATTCTTCTCTGGAGCGAACGTCGTTGTCGTCGTCTTCTTCGACAGTTCTAGAACCACAAGTGGATACGAATTGAATGGAACGGTGGTGATGATGGCGCACGCACTGCTTCTCAGTCGTTAATCTTGCGAAATATTGTGAAGGACGATACAGGAGCCTCTACATACGTTTGTTCCTCCGCGAAACGCTCCACTCTATGCTACCAAATCAACTTGCGTGCGCAACAACAACCGCTCAAATGGAAAAAAGAGAAGTGAGATAGAGACCAGAGGAACGAACTTAAGTCAATTAAGACAAAACCACTTAAGTATGTTTGGTAGGTAACGGCGCAACTCATGAATCAATCAACGATGCTCTCTCGGATATGTTTTTTTTCTTCTTCAAATATTAACTGAGTTTTTATTATACACAACAGCCGCGAACGCACTGAAAGACAACGTAAACAAACGCTTCGGTGTTAACTGCTCTAACTCTATTAATTATGGCAATTATTCACGCATTAAAATAATAATTAGATATCAAATATAAGTGATAATTACTTGTAATCATTCTTTTAAACTTTCCACATTGTTACTAAAGGGAACAATATAAAAAGTTCTTAGCTACTAGTGCGATTTCTGCGAAGACAATCAATGAACAAAACTGTGATGGTGGCATTTGAAAAGAACATAAATAGTCACATAGGCGAATTCGAATAAGAAATTGTCTTGCAAATGTCTTCGAGTTCGCATAGCTACTCCGCATGTTTGAAGTTGCAACAAGCTAAATAGAATTGGCACACGAATGCGCTGCGAGAGTGGAGAGTGTTATAATTAGATGCGATAACAAATTGGGGTAAAAAAAAGCAGCAATTAACGTTATGAACGAGTAGTGCGAAGGAAGACTTTTTGATGTAATCATAAAAACCCATTGGAATACTCTCTGTTATCATAAATTCTATGAAAAGTTTCAGAGTTAATCTTAAAAAATCGTATTTGCGAACGAAAATGCAAATACGTTGGTAAAATCATCGATAATTAATTAATATTACAAACAAATTTAGAAAAGAATGCGAAATTGATTAATATTTTTTTTAAATTTTAAATACGATGATACTTAAGTTGCCTACGTAAGATTCAATATAGTTCTAGTTTAATTTGTTGTTTTGGTTAGGGGGCGCTCACACGGAACTGTAATGTCATAGTTGTCAGATGAGGTTTGTTTTTGTGATCTGACACTGACATTTATCATTATATACATAATATTATCAATTAAATCGTTTCGTGTCGGTTGTTCAATAGTTGTGATGTTTCGTGTTGATAAGTAAATTCGAGTTGTAAATAAGAAAAAAAGTAAGTGAAATAATATAAAATTTAGTCTTTTGTAAATGTTGCTGTTTTTCAGATAAAAACAATTGCAGCAAGATGAATTCGTTCAAGCAACCCACCCTGAGAATAAACCAGGCAGACTTGATGTGCAAGAATGGGTGCGGTTACTTCAGCAATGCCGATTGGGATGGTGAGCAGTTGTAATGATTATTTTACGCAATTGTTTGAATTGTTCGAATTGATTGTGTAGGTTACTGTTCGAAATGCCACAGGAGCGCGCTGGAAAAGGAGAGGCAGAAGAAGCTCTCTTCGAAGCCACAGAAAATGTCTGGGTTCACCAAGTTCGAGGAGAAGAAACGCCAGCAGACTGATAAGAAGAACAAATTAATCAAGACGCCCGTCTTTCGGAAAACTGCGAGTGGAAGAGGTTGCTAACAAATCAATTACTAATAATAATAATAATAATATTTTGGATCGTAGATTCGTTCAGATCCGAGAGGCAACCGGAGGCGATCCACAATCCGGAAGCGGATCGTTTGACCGTGGAGTACCTGAAGACGTACGTGCTGCCAGAGCAGGTGAACAAGGATTTCTTCAAGAAAATCAGCTACCTGTATTCGATGATCGTGACGGAGATGGATAACAATAAGCCTATAGAGGAGGTGGCGGAGCTGGCGCAAAAGTATTACATCAACTATTCGACGAGATTGAACGGTCATCCGCTGTACGCGGACATCGATCCGAACGTCAGGGCTGAGATGTTGGAGTTTTTCGAAAAGTTCGTCATGTCGAGCGCTTACGAGTACATATTTTGTCCGCCGACGACGAACGACGAAGAGAAGGATCTGATCATTCAGAACAGGATCAGGAAATTGAGCTGGGTGAATGCTTACCATTTGGACTGTTGCATCAGCGAGACGAGCATGGAGGTCAGGGAATTGGTGTACACTGCAATCACAGATTTAATTGGTAAATCAATTAAACTATTTTCACGATTTTTCAGCTGAAATAACGTGTGATACCTTTCGTTTCAGGTTTGGATTCGGTGAAGGCGCCTCAGGAGAAACTGGCGTGCGTCGTGCGCTGCTGTCAGAGCGTCGTGGAGATACTGAAGAGTTGTCAGGAGGGACCGGTGAGCGCGGACGAGTTTCTGCCCGCCCTCATCTTCGTCGTGCTGAAAGCGAATCCGGCTCGTCTGAAGAGTAACATCCTGTACATCACGAGGTTCTGCAACGATTCGCGCCTGATGCAAGGGGAGCCGGGATACTACTTCACGAATCTAGTGAGAATCTAGAAGAAATACAAAGAGATATTAATAATAATAATACAATTGGATTGTTTCAGTGCTGCGCCGTATCGTTCATAGAGAATCTAACTGCGGAATCGTTGAGCATGAACAGCGAGCAATTCACGTCGTACATGAGCGGCGACAGCAACGTGATCAGCACCTGGGAATCGGCGCTGTTCGCTTGCGAAGGAATGCACCAGCTCACGCAGCATCTGAGCCTGATGAAAGACCTCACCGAACGCACCGCAACAATCAAGTCGAGAGCGGAAGAGCTTCGAGAGAAAATGCAAAGCTTAAAAGTAAATATACAAACATTATTAATACTTTTTTTTTACTAATGTGTTATGTTAATTGCGCAGGATGAAATCAAATCGAAAGTGGCGACAGTCATAGAGAAGAACCCGCTCGAGTTGAAACCGCCGAACGAATTGCAGCTGAAGACACCGGAGAGGACGCATCCGGCGTTGCGCGAAGATGAAGGCGAGCAGGCCTCGAATTTCTACACGTACAATTTGCAAAATCTGAGCGTGAAGATCGATCAGAAATCGAAATTCAAGTTGGATCTCGTTGCGGATCAAAAGCCGGTCGAGGGTGGCAGCGGTAACAGTCTGACCCTCATCAATTACGACATCGACGTTTCCGATCTGAGCAACGAGAGCGATCTGACGCCGGAGAAACGCGACGATCGTTGCCTGCTCGACATGAAGGAGGAGTCGCCGGAGGCCCGCCTGCCGCCGCCGCTCGAACCGACCGCCCACTATTCGGGATTCGCCAAGCAGGGCTATCAAATACCGAGCATACCGTGCAACACCGGCAACAAGAATTCCGACACTTACAAGAACACGACGAATAACGGAAACTGAACCGCGCAGACACTACACCGATAGGAGATTGCATCGAAACGCTGCTGCTGAATTGATTTGTTGTGATTATTAATTTATAGAATTATATTAAAGTTGGAAATAGAGATATTAGATAAGTTGTTAGTTTGGTTGCATACATATCCATACCGCACACACAATTAAGTAATATTCGCTGCACAGAATTCCTATTAGATTTCTAGTCAGAAATGGAGCTGCATTAAATATAATAATTGATGTTATGTGGGTGAAAAAATCCCGCATGATCTCATCGCTAAATAAAAGTTTCCCACTTGAAACTAAAACACAATGAAAATACATTGTTTTTTCTCTCTCTCTCTGTCTCACGTTGTTATCCAATTTAAAATGAAAGCAAACCGCACATTAATAATAATGATATAAAATCCTTGAAATTGAGTAAACGCAAATGACGAGTGCACAGAGTACCAGAAAATTTGATAACGTTACGATATATTATCTTATAAAATATTGAATTTCAGAGAACGAAAGTCATAGGTGAGTCACACGTCTCAACTTTAGATGATGATAGCGTGAAGGCATTCGGAATAGGTGCAAAAATAAAAATCCGCGACTCCTAAGGACAATAAACAGATGACTAACGTTTATCAATCGATAAACAGCAAAATTAACATCAATTATAACTATTGTATTTATAGAATCCATTCAAACATACACCACGAATTGAATGAACATTCATTAGAATTCTGTTATCGTTATAAAAAAAAATGAAAATACGTTGATTATCGCGTTACGTGTATAAATAAAATTTATCATAATCAAACCCTATTGTCAATTCAAGTCGTGTAAACCGTTAATAAGACGAACGCAATTTTATCTGATAAACGAGAAGTAATTGTCAACATATTCCCATCAATCATGCATCAATTTTCACACGAAAAACTAAAATCATTGCTCCTTGGAACTTTTCTCTATCAATCAACAAAAAACTTAATCTTTTCCTCAAAACAGATGACACAAAAATTGACGAATTTCGCAAATGCGTAAAACTTTTTCAGCGCAGAACGAAAACTTCGTCTCGATTATTTCGCGAAACCTATAAATCACAAATGATTGCATTTAAGAAAACAATTCTGAAGAAATGTTATAAATTTAAAATAAACAAACAAATCGTAAATAACCGAAAAGCAAATTAACATTATCGAATAACGCAAACAAAAATCCCAATCTTTAGAACAACATTACCAATATCTCGAAAAACACTGTAGATAAAAGTGAAACACTTATTTTTAATGTGTTTTAAAGGAGGAGAAGGATTTCTGTCGATGATAAAACCGCAGATTGCAATCGATTTCTACAAATTGAAAATAATAAGATTAACAATTAGTTAATCACTGTCGTTACGAACAGAAACGGAATGTGATTCCCCGCCGCAAAACGCTGGATATTTGAGAATATTGAAAATTCGACATTTCCGACGTGATAACAGTATTAACATAAACATATATTATTAGATAACGCGATAATCTACGAAACTACTACAAAATTTACTAATAGTTTGAATTGAATTGCTGCAATTACTATTTCGCGCGATATCAATATTATATTTGATTATATTAACTTAATTGACTCGCGACAATGTGCGTAATTCTAATTCTAATCTTTCCCGGTCTAATACGCAATCGTATACACTTCCTATTAATCATTGGAATGTTTAGTAATACAACCGACGTGTGATTAATACATACACTTTACGTTCGCCCAAAGAATTTGTAATATCGATTATTTTGGTGTGAAAGCAAATAGGAATACGTTAGTTATTTCAGATTAGATTCGATGGGTTCGAAACCAATACACACATACTGGAGGTGCTGCGATTAGATAAGCGGAGCGGTCCAATTTAGCAACAAAAAAAAAGAATTCTGTGCGAATTCGAATCGGCGAGTTTGTGTTGTGTAAATGCACACAGAAATTGATAAATGAAACACGAAACCGATTAATTTTTCGCGATTTCAAAATCAGCAACGAACAAACCGAAAGTAGACGAATATTATCAAAAACCGCCAGATGATAACAACACAATTTCAAGAAGAAATACGCGAACTATCGTAAAGACGACGCTGTGGAAAAGAGATTAGATTAGCTCACCTCAATTCCAACAAACTTACAGAAAACGCGCCCACCCATCAACTATTATTCAACGAAATACAAATGAATTTCAAGAACATCCAATATAATAATTTATATTGTGATTTGTGTCACGGTCCACCGTGTTACGATAACTTTGATTGAGCCCGGATTAGATAAATAAGATCTATTTATATTAGATATACATTTATGTGTTTCACGATACTCGAAAATATATTTTTATATATAATTGGAAGATGTGGGAGCTGAAAAAACCTTGCGTCATCTGTTGAAATAAACAATCAAATTTTGTGAACGAAAGATTCGTGGACACTTAACAGAAAATCATTTAGTTTTTCAATTTTAGTGAGGACAAACTAATATTGAAAAATGCGTTATCTATTCGTCGCGAATGTAATTGGAAATCACATGAAACCATCAATCGCACGAACGAAATGAAAATGTAACAAATAATTGTAATTTTGCGCTTTCATCTATTAATAGATTTCTTCTATTTACCTTGAAGATTAATCTATAAGGAATTGTATTATTGAATTGATGAAAAACGTGCGGTTTTGGAAAAAACAACAAAACATTTCAACAGGTGCGATGCAGTTAAAATCCAAATAGTTTCGTGAGTGAGTCCTGAAGGATTTTCATTAAATTAAGTTAATGCATAGGTTCTGTTTGTATTGGCACGTTGTTTGTATTAATGATTGCATTATTACTTATTGATGGTTTCCAAATGGAATTTCCAACCTTCGGCTTCCAGAAGCAACAAAGGCGCCGACGTCGTCATAAACGTATGAATCATTGTTGCAATAATAAGAACTAAAATAGGTGGGGAAG